ATATTTTTCTATACAACATATGTATTACAACCACAACTATAATATATTGAATTTAAATAATATTATTCTTACTATTTATTCACTTTCAAAGAAGTTTTTGAAAATATATAAATATAAAAAATTATTGTTAATTTTTATTTGTTAATTTTTTTCAGATAAAAAGTATAATTTTTTTAATATACACGTATATTTCTTTATTATAAAATTTTATTGTGACCATCATTTATCTTTTATTCAAATTCTTTCTTTTAAAATTTATATATATTATAAATATTTAATTTATTAAAATAATTTTTCAAAAATTTATATTTTTGATAAAATACTTTTGTATAATATATGAGTTAAAAATACTAGTATTAATATATATATATATATATATATATTAATTATATTATATTATTTTAATTAAATCTATTATTTTTCTTACAATTTCAATTTCAAAAGTTAAAAAAAATATTTTATACATCCACTTTCTATTGTTAGTATTAAATTTCTTTACTCTAACTATATTATCATTCTCAATGTCTGTCTCATTAAAACTTAACAACTATGAAACATTATTCATTAGAGTTAGTTGTCAATGTCGTTATAAGATGTCACCAAATGATCCCACACGAAAGGACAACTATTGTGCAGATCTATTTCGTTGTCACTCTGACATTGTCAATCGATCAATTCTGACACAATATAGGGTTATCACTGACAAATAACTTGTGTGTTTAGTTTCGCTTATTGTTTCTAAAAATTTTAGTTTAGAAAATTATTATATTAAGATACATTTAGCATTTATGATATTTGAATATTTTATTTTTTATCTATGTTTGTATCTTGTTCGATAACTACATATTAAATTTTTGTATTATTATGCTACTTATGTGAAGTTATATAAATATATTTTTCTCAAACAGACTCGGGTAATGGATATAAGATGGGTATACGAGTATTCAGAAGGTATGAATACGAGAATTAATGTTCATACCCACGTGGGTATAGAACTGGGTACGAGTATTTTTTTAAAACGTAGGTATGGATTACTCATTGCCATCCCTAGAAGTGCTGTACCCATGCTTCATATATGTGTTCCTACTTTTTTCTCCTGCTGGACTGCTGGTGTCTTATAGCTAGTAATAACATGGCCTTAAACAGGTTGATGTTCAATTGAAGAAGGAAGACTTAACAATCGATACCTATAGATCTGGTGGTTCAGGCGGTCAGCATGCAAATACAACCAATAGTGCTGTTAGAGTAACCCACATTCCAACAGGGATTTTGATTGCTATACAAGATGAGCGCTCTCAACATATGGTAAATGGTTCAAAATATTTCCCATATTTTTCACATTTAATGTTATTGACTGGAAATGTGTTTTTTTTTTTTCCGGTACAACTACACACTCTCATTTTGTTTATTTATATAAAGTGCTACAATTTCTCTAGATTGACTTGCAATTTAATTAACTTGCCTTGCATAATTTTTATCTATACTTGCGAGAGTAATTATTGAGGCAATATGTTCTGGTGTATACAGGTCCGGTCTTGAGGATAATTTAATGGTGCGTTGTCTAGGGCTAAACTTAAAAGAGGGTCTAAAAATAAAAAATTATATTCTATTTTCACTTAAAAAATATTTTAACTCTTACAGATTTTAGTTAAAAAAAAAAATTAATTTCTCACACCTCACTTCTATAAGCACGCAGTCTCACCACTTAGAACTCTTTCTCGTCTGTTTCTCTCAAATCTCCCTGACCTCGATTTCTCTGATCCTCTCCCTCTGTTTCGTCTCTGTCCCCTCTTATACTATCTCTCACCCTCTTCCTTACTCTTCTTTGTTGCTTTATTGGTTTTTGTCCTTTATGCTTAAATTATTGAACCAAAATAGCATAGCAACAAAGCAGGTGCAGAATATGACATTCTACTCCTGCTTTTATTTTATTTTTAACTAAGAGAAATTTTTTTGGTCAACATTATAATAAGTGCCGATAATGTGAAGATCCCATAATTTATCTATTATTAAAATCTTCATGCTTTATTGGGTAATAGAAGATGGAGAGAGTATATTGGAATATGCATTGTTCTTGTTTTTTTTTTTTTAATGTGCAAACATATGCTATTAGTGTTATGAGACAATGCAAGACTCCTCGGTGATGCTGGTTGAAAGGGAGAAGCTTATGGCGGTTCATTGGTTAGGCTAAGCGAATGAGTGCCTCTCATAGACATCTCATTACTTCATACCAATAAAAGAAAAAAAGACATTTCATCACTTAAATCAATTTTAAAGTGAAATTTGATAAAAGAAGATGAGTGGAAGAATATGCAGGAATTTTAAATATAAAATTAAAGATAACATAATTATATATAATACACATCATAACATCTTAATACAATTCCAACTATATGTAATTGAATAATTGCGTTAAACGCGTACCTGAACTCACGAGTCATAATCAATCCTTATGAGAACCCATGAGTCATAAGCAATCTTTGTTTTCGAGTGAGCGTGTACTACTCTCTTGTCTGATTGCTATTATCTCACTTATCTGATTACTATTATCTCACTCTATTAACTGTCTAATGGGCAACAGTTATATAAGCCTAATCAGATGAGAACATGAACATCTCACTAGACACATAGAATAGTGCAACCCATCACAAATTATTCACTCTAAGAGCCTAATTACAAAATCTATATAATAATTATTATTATTATTATACACATTAAATATTAATATTAATGTTAAAAAATCTAACAAAATAAGTATACCCAAATATTTATTTGTACCAAAGATAATATAACGTGCATAACATGGTGCTTGGATTCGATAGAAACATGTGATCTAATCACAGTCATAATATTGCGTAGCTAGTAATTAATCACATCAAACAGTGCTCAATTATTAACTATCCAAACTTCTTACTGAACTAATCAAATAAATCTTTCCTACAAAAATTTTATTTTTGACTGACTACAAAGTGAAATGTTAATATCAGAATATAAATATGGCTCAAAATGAAGCAAAAGAAAATAAACAATTGTTATATATAGATAAAATTTTCAAGTACAAAAAAATGTTGAGAATATTTTTTGTTGTTGTCTTTTAGATTTAAGTAGGAGATTGTTAATTCATAGTTATACTTATTATTTTGATCAGTTACAAATTCATAGTTTTAACATTGTGGGACAATATATACATAAATCTACAATATTATTGAAAAGATAAATATAATTTATAATTATTTATTTCGAGCTTTTGTATTTTTATAATTTTAAATAATTTTATCATTTTAAGTATTGTAATAACAAACATTCATTTAACCATTTTTATTATATACGATTTTGCATCCAATTCTCAACGATATTCATAGTGGAGAAGACTTTTTTCAACATTTGTAGTTTGGTAAGTAGTATAGAGTTGAGTCTTAAAGCAAATACAACAATGAATATACACTCTACTTCTTAGTCTCTACGAACTTTATTGCTAAAAATTGGTTTCTCCTAATTTTATAAATGTATTGTCAGAATGTACATATATAAAATAAATTTGAATTGACTATATAGTGCCAAATATTTAGAGAAAATTTTGAAAGATAAAGTCAAATCAATCAATTTTTCTTTATCAAACGATAAAATGAATCCCTTAGTAAAATTCTCCAACCTTTGGATTTAAAATAACAATGAATGATTGTAAATTAGAGAGAAATTGATGCAGATAAGAAGAAGGGGGTGAATAATGAAAAAGAAAATCCAACAGAAAGATAGAAAGAGAACGAGTTCCTCCAACAGTATTCAAATTTCTTGTACTTAATATTTTTGCAAATATAAAAACAAGTACAGTTGTAAGCTGTAAATATCTTATTTACCAAATTATAGTTTACAGTGCCATGGATATAATCCCGTTCTGTCTCAAAAAGTCTCCATACAAAGTGACACACACTGAAAATAAAAAAAAGTTGCAGTTCATCAAAGACCAAAGAGTTATTAATTCCAGTCGTCTTCCAAGTCATAATAATTGGACTTAATTTAATTAGCAACTTGCGTTTACAAGGCCATGAGACTTGATTATCCAAATTGCTAAATCAATTTCATTTATAAACCCCACCCCTCGAAAACCAATGATACCCACTTAATTGGTTATTTCTTTAACAGATATCTTATTTTAACGTGTGAAAGTTAATATTGTGTATGATATTATATTATATGCGATTTTACTCCTTTGATTTTTTCTAATTATATATGTTTATTTAACTTCTAAATTTAAATATTTTTAATCATTACCTATAAATTTTTATTTTATTAAAAAGTATTAATTAAAATATTAAATATCACAACTATGTATAGTTTTTTTCTCTTTAAACATTAATCTCACGTCTTATAAGATCTTTTAATTTTTTAAAGTTTTTACTATTCCAAAAAATGAAAATTATTTTATATCTCAAATTCCGTATAAAGTCTAAAAAGTTAGATAAAGATAATAGTTTAATAATTTTAATTAAAAAAATTTAAAGAATAAAATTTACTTAATTTTAAAATAAAAAAGTAATCAATTTTAAAAACTACAATCATGTGGATCGAACTATGTATATATAAAGTAAAAGTGTAGTTACACTTTACTTTTATCTTTATTATTTTTTCCTAACACATACATTTTAAAAAAATAAAAAAAAAATTATTGTGGATTAACGCTTTCCTTTCTTTTATCCATTGGAGAAATTTGGATGTAACCGCCGCTGTTATATTAATTTTTTAATACTTAATTTAATAATTAATCGTGAACTTGTATAGAATAGCTTGTATGATTAGCGGTTGTTTGATTGGTATTAATTTATTTTTCATTCTTTCAAAAAAGGAAAAGATAAAAATAAAAAAATGCATGGCACTCTTGTCTCTTTAACTTGAATAAATCAGAATAGGGCCCCACAATCGCCGTCAGAACACGTGGCATGGGGCCCACAACAACTGACGAGTGTGTTTGGTTTGGTGACTCAGTAATGAAAGTTTAAACCATTCTCAATGAGTGAAACAATGTTTATGTCCACACCAATCTCATCTTTTCTCTGCTCTTCTCCCTATGGAGAATGAACCCTTTCTAATTCTCAACACTCCCCAAATCATCGAACGTTCCGATTTGCCCTTCTCATCTTCCAAGTCCTTCAACGATGTCACCACCTTGCAAGAAGCCCCACGTGTGGGAAATTCAGAGATACAATCCTTCAATGAACACCACCAACCATTGCTTCCAAAGAAGAAACTTAGTCGTTGCAAGACAGCCCCTGCTATGGTTGCCATGCGAGACCTCAAACCTAAGACACCCCAAGTTCCCAAACCTCAATCTAGTTCCATAATTCGACAAGGCATTTGGTTACTTGTCGTGTATCTCTTCGTGGGAGTGGTTATATACTCTTACAATAGGAACCATTTTTCTGGCATAGAGACACACCCTGTAGTGGATGCCCTTTACTTTTGTATAGTTACCATGTGTACCATAGGTTATGGGGATATAGCTCCTTTAACTCCAGTTACAAAGGTTTTTGCTTGTGTTTTTGTTTTGGTGGGGTTTGGGTTTATTGATATTCTCCTCAGTGGGCTTGTAAACTTTGTATTAGATTTGCAAGAGAAAGTGATTCTGACCAGTCTCCAAATGGGTGCTAGGGAGGGTTTCTCTGCAAGTAATTACATAGTTGATGTGGCAAAGGGTAGGATGAGGATTAGATTGAAGGTTGGTTTGGCACTTGGTATTGTGGTTTTGTGTATTGGAATTGGGAGTTTGGTGTTGTACTTTGTGGAGGGTTTGGAATTTGTTGATTCTATTTACTTGTCGGTTATGTCTGTCACAACGGTTGGGTATGGAGACAGAGCCTTTAAGACCCTTCCGGGTCGGTTATTTGCGGCTATTTGGCTCCTCTTTTCTACTTTGATGGTGGCACGGGCATTCCTCTATTTGGCTGAGGCTAGAATTGATAGAAGACATAGGAGAATGGCTAAGAAGGTTTTGCAAAGAGAAATCACTATTGAGGATTTGCTTGCTGCTGATATCAACAACACTGGTTTTATCAGGTATCACTTCTTTTCTTAACAATCACCTCTAATTTCTTTGCCATTGGTAATCTTCACTGCCTGTTAGAACCAAACAGCACTAAAGATGACTTCTTTCTTTCAGAAGTGAGAGCCAGATATTAGTTGGGTACCAATTGAGGCCTGATACCAATTCTGGGCACCTAATCTAAGTAGGAAAATAAAACTTGCTTCTGATACCTTAGATGCCATAACCAGGATATTCTAATTAAGCATTATGCCTCTAACCTTACGTTAATTACAATTAGCTACATCATTTGTAGCTTGTGGAGAGCATTGTAATGATTCGCGAAATCTCGATATGAATCAAAATATTATTAATAAAAGAAACCGGTAGTCATAAGCGGACATAATTGTAATTTGTTTAATCCGGTGTTATAGCTTGGATGCGATTTTCTTGTTTAATTTGGTTTGAAAACTGTCATCTCTTGTCGAACATGCGATGGCCAATGTCACTTTCTGAAAAATATTAACCGTGTCTAGATGTTTTATGCACCATGCAGAGTGTACAGGTAGGGGCAGAGAGTGTGAGGCATCAATAATGTATGCATTATTCAATTATTTTATATGGTTATTATTTTAAAGGGCTATTTTTATTTAATTGTGGCTCTTCTCCCTTCGCTTTGTTTTCAGTAAGTCAGAGTATGTAATCTTCAAGCTGAAAGAGATGGGTAAAATACAGGAAAAAGATGTGTTGCTAATTTGTGAGCAATTCAGGAAACTTGACCCCTCTAATTGTGGGAAGATAACACTTCCTCATCTCTTGGAGGACAGATCATGATAGAGTAAAAGCAAAACAACTGATATATGAACATATAATTGTTTCAGCAAAAGTGCTAGCAGAGCATTATTTTTGCACAAGGAGGAAGATGGGAAACTAGGGAAGATAATCTTCGCTGGGAAAATTCTGCAAATGTACATGATAGAGATTTTTCCCTAGGGGTAGGTGATAGGGATTGAATTATTCGAAGCAAGATTTTGTACAGAAATTACATCAATTCGTAGAGGTGGTTGCAAGTCATAAGCTCAAAGGGAATTTACTAGAAGGAAAAAAAGAAAGGGAGAGAGAGAGACCCATCAATTTGACCTCATTCCAAAAGCATTATTTCCCTCTCCTGTAACCAGAAAAAAAAAATGTTAGACATGGAAAATTTTCGTAATATCAAGTCGTGATTTTAATTTTGATGCAAAAAAGTTTTTATCTTCAAATTTTAAGTACCAATTAGTTTAATCCATAAAATTACAAAATTAATTTATGTATGAAATTATTAAATAATAGTCATATTATGAATTTTTAAGTTACTAAATCACAATCATTTTTAGTCCTAAAACTTTAACAATATTTTATATATTTTAAGGACTAAATTGATTAATTCTTGTAATTTTAGGAACTAATTTAGGGCGTGTCTTCTATTTTTATAACATATTTTAACTTTTTTAATAATTTTTTTCATTCTATCACAGTTCATCACGTTATAGATATATAATCTCTCTCTTTATTATAAAAAAAGTTTTTCTTAGTTCTTAAAATTAATTTTAAGTTTCCAGAATAGTAATTTTTTATTATAATTTTATACAGAATAGTAATTTTTTATTATAATTTTATACATTTTTTTAAGAATAAATATTTTATTTCTCTATAAATTTTACCATTTCTATCTTTGTAAACAATGAGAGAAATAAACTTGAGATTTCTCAAAATAAAGTTCAAACGAACCCTCCCAACGTTGAGCGACAGACATCAGTACAAACAAAATTTTTCAGCCATGTTTATATCGATAAACATGTCAAATTAACTGTATATTAACATTTAATGCGATAGTTACTAAATCTAATACATAATTAATATAATAATTTTTTTATCATATTTTTACATATTAATATTTAACAAAATGATTTTAGAATATAATTATTGTTTAATAAAAATGTCATATTAAATATCAACAATATAATTACATGTTTTAAATTAAATTAAATATTATACTGATTAATTATAAGATATTTATTAAATGAAATTGGTTAAATATTTATAGAAAATACTAATAAAAGTATTATTAAACAAAAATATATATGAATTTAATATCTAAAAGTATAGAACAAAATATGTACTTAAAAAAGCTTATTATTTATAATTATCATTGAGCTAGACTTAAATGTACATTAAAATATATCTATATCTATCTACCAATGTATATAAGTTAATTTCTTAAAGTCTCAGTTGAATTACACTGTGTTATTTTGAATTTTAATATTTATTATAATTAATTAAATTTTTGAAATTTTTTATTTATAAAACATTTTAAAATGACAAATTAAATGTTTAATAGTATAATTTTATTATATAAGTAAAATTGATTGTATACTACTCTGTAATGCTATATTGATTAAATGTATTATATATTAAATTAATTAAAAAAATTGTATTGCACGTTGATCCTTTACGTTATATTTATTAAATATATTATATAATTAATTTAATAAAAGTATAAAATATGTTATCTTAAATATTAATGATAAATTTGCATGCTAATATGTTTTTAAAATATTATATTTATAAACTGCAACATATTTATTAGATGAATGACACTTTGTACATTTTTTTGGCATGATCTGTTTTATCTTTCAAAAATCATAACCAGTAGTCAAATCGCAAATCATCCTCTGATCAGTTGCGTTTGGATACGAAAGCCACAACAACAATAATTCTGTAACTTGATTAGCTATGCAATAATGGAGGACCACAGCATCATTCAACTCAGACCAAGCTTCATTTGTTTCACAACGCTCCACGTTGGTGGTGTCTCTTTCGTTTCTTCTTTGAGGAGCTCACATATTTCATTGATAGCTATTCAAATTAAATTGCTTATAAAGATAGGAAAACACTAATCCATGTTCTGATGACATTGTTGAGAGAATTAATAATAAAAATATTTTGTTAGAAGATGTAAAACTACACTTATTTTCATATTTTGTCGCCTAACTTTTCTGGATATGTAACCCTTTTAATCCTCCAACATACAGACTACATGGGATCTGCCATGATTGTTTGGTGCATGGTTTGCTCGAATAGACCATAATGTTCCAACATCCTACATTTATAGCTTCTGGTTTTGCTTCATATTGATTAATCTAATATATATAAGGTGCCAAAGTTAATGGCTCCTTCACGTGACGGGTAATCGGTATCACATAAAAGTGGAGCAATGGATAATGTTTTTTGTCTAACCTCTACAAGCCCAGCCCAGTTGTCAATTTTCATTGAATTGTTGCCTTCAATTTCAGCTGTTACATTATTATTACATCAATTACTCCATCATTTTGACTTTTTACGCCTCCGACCATTTTCCACAACCACCAAATTAGGTTTTTAATTTATTTCCAAATTACAAAAATTCAACGTAGGAATCGAAAGATTAGGAATATTTTCCTTGCCCATCTTTTTTTTTCCGCTTTTTATTTATGAATTTATTTTTCTTATCACTACTGATACAAAATTAGCATAAAAAAAATCTCTCTTTTAAATATTTAACTCTGGCTGCATTAACTAAGACTAAAATTTAATATCACCAGGTAGACTGAAACAACTACTGTTAATTAATTCGAATTTATTGATTAAAGAATAAAAATTTTGTATTTAAAAAGATAACATTTAGTACAAAAACAAAAAGCACAGTAAAGACATCTTACATATTTGAGTACCACGAGGTGAAAGGTACTAGTACACATGAGGTCTCCATGAAGGTTCTTTTTCATTTTGAAATTGTGTTAGTATTAGTGTAGTACCATTGTACCAAAAACACCAAGTAGTACATGGGGGCAGAGTTGAACTGAGATTCGATAGTACATGCTTGTACTACAAACAAACCATTCCCACCCCTTGAGGCTTGAGCTAATATTATCACTATTATATAGAGTCGAATTGCATCAAACATAAGCTCAAGAGTTATCTGAAAACCCAGTTTAGACACAGTAATATATGATAGGAAGGAAGGTGGTCGATTAGGATTGAGGTAAGTTAATGGATCCGTCAAGAGGAAAGGTTGGAGTGAATAGGAAGAGATAGGACAAAGGCTGGGAACAGGCAGAGCACGAATGGAGCTATCAACAGAAAAATAGCGAAGAAAGGAACTCACAATAATGAGAGGATAAATCTGTTGTGGCTACGCTCATGCACTGCCTCTTCCCTGGCTCTCTCTTTCCTACTCTAATTCCACTTCCTTCTTTCTCTATTTATTTATTTATGGAATGTGCTTCATTATCTCTATTCAAATGGTTCCTATCAACCTGAAAGGTTGGCCTAGTAATATAAGGTTTGATTGTGTTTACATGTGTGTGGTCAATTTATTTAGTAAGAAGTTCCGTCTTCAAACTCTATCATGTGCAAAATTTCCTTGAGTCAGCTACAATCACAAATTGCGAGTGGAAATTAATCTTAAGCTCTTTTTACTTGAGAACACCACGTGATCTGATCGAAAGGCTAAGGGCAGATAGCATCACCTCAATCCTTGAGTAATCTAATCCAATTGCTTCTACTGCTCTATTTAATGCAATATTTTGTAAATCTTGAAATAGCTCTACTGCTCTGTTGGATCATGCATGATCGTTTCAGTTCCATACTTTCACGGTTTTCAGGTTGTGATTATTTTCTAGTCTGATTGTTTTCAGGTTAATAATTGCTTTCATTATGTGAATCTATACCTTCTATTATGGAGATGACATAGATGCTGCCACGCTTCAATCAGCAGCAGTTCACAAGCATATTGAACAGGATGATTCATTGTCAAGATCTTTAGCTTTTCCACACCAATGTGTGAACTGTGAAACAAGATTCTCAACCAAGGTTCTCTGCAAAATGATTGTATATACGGACCAATTGTAGTATAACTCATCTGCCATATTGATGTGAAGAAGAATGAGGGAGTGAATTTGAAGTATTGTGGGTGGACACAAATGAATCAGACATTTCTTATATTCTTTTAGCCCTTTGTACAACGCTACTGACTACTGTATGGTGGCCATTTTGTGTTAAAATCTTAGAAATAATTAAAGAGTGAAACAACATAAGGTTCTCAAGATTTTATCAAACATTAAATCAGCTCATTTGAATTGACGATTTGACGTGCTTCCAGCTAAACCAATTATGGACTAGGCCGGGTTAAACTAAATCTTTTATATAAATTTTTTAAAGTCATTTCTAACAGTAGCCATCCATATGGTTGAACTCTAAATCAATGCTAGGTAGCTAACAGCAAGGAACTTGGATAATTGAATGCAACCATGCAATGAAAGAAAAAATAATCATTAAGAATCATCCTAGTTGCCCCGTAAAGATAATTAACCAAAAACAGCAGCAACAAAACGATATCTTAGTAGTTACACTCCAAATATTTTTTAACACAAAATCAGGGGCGCCCCCACAGAAAGCGTTTAAGGTTTTGGTAAGAGACTTCTGCTCAACCAAACAGAAGAAAGAAAAGAAAGAAGAGAAGCATAAATAAAGTACCTGGAGCCAAACTGCTCAGCCATGCTTTTTGTGACCACAAATCATTTTGTTTCCAATTGAATGAGCAAGCTGGAATCAACATATTACAATAAACAGCTTGATTAACAGAAACATGATACCGAATAATCTTTCTTCTCATGGCTTATTGGTTTTCAACACCATTCTAAAAATATTATCTTCCGTCAAATAAAAGGAAGTTACACGATTGTATCATTCAGACAAGTATGTGGACTCCTTACACTCAACAAGGACAACAGGCTTTAGTTCTACCAGTTTATGGTCCAGTTTTCCAGATTCTATAACCTGTAAATCTTCCAGAAGGATCACATAATGCTCTTCGACATCTCCTGCACTCTTTTGTCCTCCGACCATGGCTGCAACCACCTTCCACCTTTCTGGGTGTTGCTCATCTACCACTGCTAAGGCCATCTCAAACAATTTGTTCTCTTCCCAAGTCCATGCACACAAGCTCTTTGTAAAATCATCCATGTCACTAGCTTCACTCCCTCTGGATCCTAGTAATTCATTCACATTATAATCACTTTGAAGAATAATTCGTAGGATGGTAAACCTGCTGGCATTTTGTTATATATACTCCTAGTCTTAGACAAAAATTTGACACCCCTTATGATGTCCGGGGAGCCAGAGTTATGCAATGCATGCCAAATAGTTATCTTTTG